CTTCGACCTAACTTCATAATTCCACATTCAGTGTGAAAGCAGTTTTTTGAGGCTATAAAAATGAAATGGCCTGTATTGTTTTTCAGTCACTACGCTCAGCCCACATCATTTGAATTCCCTTTCCCATCCTCGAGTGTCATCTTGGGCAGATTTGAGAACTTTCTAAATATCTTTTTTGTTTAGAATTAACAAATTAGAATTCAGTCCACTGCATATTAAAATTCCAGTCTCATGTCTAATTCAAAGCTGCGTTCTGCCATCCCCGGCTACGCTTGTGAAGTGATTGCAGAAAAGGGACGTGTTTTGCTCTTTCCCTAGCTCCCCCATGCCCTTGACAACTTTGAGCCCTGGATAATCGTGAGCAGGAGGCTGGATTGTGGGGAGTGGGAGGATGTCACTGTTCTGAAAGGACTCAACAGCAGGGGTCCTGGGCTGGGTTGCTGTGGCCCCTCCAGCTCTCACTGACTGGCCGTCCAGCCGTCTGTGAGGCAGACCCCCATGCTGATCCTGCCCTTGGACACATGTGTGTGGTCTGTGGAAGGCCCTCCACGGGCTCCTAGGGCACACTTCTCTGAGATGAGAAACCTGGGTCTAGTTCAGTCTCCAGCCCCAGACCCCCATAGTCCACCCTGAGCCCACTGCTGCTAGGGTCTCCTCATGCAATGGAAACTCCCTCTGGAGGTTTCCGCTTGACTCATGAGAAACACACATTCTTGCAGATGCTCCCTGTTTTATTCCTCTTCCCTCTCTCCATCCCGCCTTTTCCCCTGTTCAGGAGGACATAAGGAGGAAAGCAGGAGTGTGGCCTAACCAGGCATCTAAATGCAGATCAGAATACGAGGCTTCCCTTTTTTCCATTTTTGCAGGCAATCCTTCCGTCTTTCATTCCCTCCTCATTAATCGTCACTGCTGTCAATAAGCCTGAGCATTGGGAAGGGAGTGCCTCTTCCTTAGATGAGGTTGAGGGACTTAATACTCTCCATTAACACTATAATTTCCAGAAGACAGGCGACTTTTTCTTCCCCTCCTGGGGCATCACCTAGAGTAGTCTTGGAAAGGCTCTCCTTTTCATGGGGCTGATTCTGCACTGTCTGGCTGCAATGGTTCTTGGTTGTCTTTACAATGTAGGGTAGCTGCTCTTGCTAGTTTTCAGGCATGAATTCAGGCTAACACTTTTAGAATAAAGGGAAAATTTTCATCAGTGCTAGATTGCCAATGGGAAATAAAAGCCTGAAAAACAATAGATTTGAATAAATGGCGAGAAGCACCGACATTAGGTGGAGACAGAGTCTGCTTTTTCCTCTGTGGTGTGGCCAAAATCTTATCCAACTACAGCTTTGTAACTAACCTAGTCTTCACAGCTCCCACGCAAGGCAGTAGGAAGAATTCAGTCTATCATTTCTGCTCTCCAGCTCTCCATCATGTTCCTCTTTAGACAGTGTTTGATATGTCAGTGCAACGACATGCACAGGATTGGGAGGAGGCACGGGGAATGGACCCTCGGGTCTGTCCTGTGTCCCTGAGGCCCATGACAATCCTGGCTCTGCATCTGATATGTCTTGGGAAGCACACAGCCTGGTTCCATCTCTGGATGCTCTGATTAGCATCTGCGGCTGAATCAGCAGTTGACTAATGCACAGTGCTCAGCTCTTTTAGGACCAACCACCTCTCCCTGCAGATCCACACTTTTCTTGGCTGGTGTAGGGCTAGACACACATTCTCTGTGAGGTAATTTACCCCGATAGCCTTGAGGCATGTAATTCTATCCTCTTAAAGATGCAGGCTTCCCCGTCCTCTGTGGAATGGTTTTAATATTAAGATGTGTTTTTTCTATCAATTCCCTATATTGACTGGTAAGTCTCCTTTGTTTCCAATAGTTATTGGAAAATTTCCAATAACTATTAAATATTTAGTTTCCCAAGACTGTTCAGGACAGTCATTGCCTCAAATGTAATTGACAGAAGAAAGAAGCCATTATTATTTACTTCGTCATTTTGAATAGGCATTTTGTTACATTTTTTGTTGCCTCAACTTTTGAAAAGTTTAAGTACAGGCTACATGGAGAAGTTCTTTAGCAGTGATTTCTGAGATTTTGGTGCACCTGTCACCTAAGCAATGTACACTGTGCCCAACGTGTAGTCTTTTATCCCTCACCCCCCTCCCACCCTTCCCGCCAAGTCCCAGAGTCCACTGTATCATTCTTCTGCCTTTGCATCCTCACAGCTTAGCTCCCACTTATAAGTGAGAACACACAATATTTGGTTTTCCAATCCCGAGTTACTTCACTTAGAATAATGGCCTCCACTCCATCCAAGTTGCTGCAAATGACATTGTTTCATTCATTTTGATGGGTGATTGATATTCCACAGTGTATATATACCACATTTTCTTTATCCAATCCTTGGTTGATGGCCATTTAAGTTGGTCCCATGTCTTTGAATTGCAAATTGTGCTGCTATAAACATGTGTGTGCATGTGTGCTTTTCATATAATCGTTTATTTTCCTTTGGGTAGGTATCCAGTAATGAGATTGCTGGATCAAATGGTAGTTTACTTTTAGTTATTTTTTTTTTAATCTCCAGCTAGGTGTGGTGGCTCATGCCTGTAATCCCAACACTTTGGGAGGCACGGCAGGTGGATCACAAGGTCAAGAAATCGAAAGCATCCTGGCCAACATGCTGAAGATTCCTACTAAAAATACAAAAATCAGCTGGGTGTGGTGGCACGCACCTATAGTCCCAGCTGCTTGGGAGGCTGAGGCAGAAGAATCGCTTGAACACAGGAGGCAAAGGTTGCAGTGAGCCGAGATTGCGCGAAGGCACTCCAACCTGGGCAACAAAGTGAGACTCCATCTCAAAAAGAAAAGAAAAGAAATCTCCGTACTGTTTTTCATAGTTGTTGTACTAGTTTACATCCCCGCTAGCAATGTAAATGTATTTCCTTTTCACCACATTCATACCAACATCTACTGTTCTTTGTCTTTTGAATAATGACCCTTCTTGCAGAAGTACAGTGGTATCGCATTGGTTTTAATTTGCATTTCCCTGATAATTAGTAAGATTGAGCATTTTTTCATGTTTGCTGGCTGTTTGTATATCTTCTTCTGATAATTGCCTATTCATGTCCTTTGACCAATTTTTGATGGGATTATTCATTTTTCCCTTGCTGATTTGAGTTTCCTGTAGATTCTAGATCTTAGTTCTGTGTTGGATGCAGAGTTTGCAAATATTTCTCCCACTCTATTGGTTGCCTTTGTGCCCTTCTGATTATTTATTTTGCCGAGCAGATGTTGCTTCAATTTAATAGGAACAAAAATCTTACTACATTGTGACTATTACACTCATTCAAATAGAGAAATGATTTTAAAAAATTTTCAGTGTCTGCACAGCTGGCAATTGTGTTAGCGTTGTCTTGGGAGGCATCTCTACTATATATACTACGGAAATCCAGTATACAGAGAATAAAAGTGACACTTAAAAGTAATCCTAATCACCACAAAAGCTAAAATATTCCACCATTATGCACAAAAGTTTATTCCTTTTTAGATTTTACAAATACATGTTCTGTAAATGGATAGTTGAAAAAAATTACATTTAACTTCTAGGAAATTATGCAGTTGAGTTGAAAGGTTTTTTAAGAAAGGTATATTAATATTATAAAAAATTAGCTTGTAAAAAAACTAGTGCTATTATTCTTCTAGCCCCTTTAATTCATATTACAGCATAAACTGTATAGTGTATTACTTTGAAAAGCCTCAGAATCGATACTTCAGAGTTGCAGCTGGGGTAGATTTTAAACGCATTTATGTCCCAAACTGTCTTTGAAAATAAGTCTGTGTTTATTTAAGTGGTTTATTTTCAGTGTTACTAAAATTTTCCAGGTTTGAGGTAGTTATGCTACTTTTAAAAAATGAAACCATCAGTTACCGATGTGAGAAATGATCATATAGACCAAGGCGTTCGCATAAAAATGTTTCAGAAACTCCAGATTGTCTGAATTTTCAGAGGAGTAAAATAATTTGGCCTTTAGTTTAGATCTTTAGTTTAGATTTTTAAAATGCATGTACTAACTATTCTTTTCCTCCCTTTCCTTTTCCTTCCCCCTTTCTTCCCCTTCCCATTTCCTCCCCATTTGTTTTCCATTTTCCTCCCTTTTCCTTCCCTTCTTTTCATATTTTTTCTTCACTTTTTCTGTTTCTCTCCCCTTTTCCCACCCTTTTCCCTTTTTATTTCTTCCCTTTCGCTTCCCTTTTTCTTCCCCTTTCCCTTCCTTTTTTAATCTAAACTAAAGATCTAAACTACAGGTATTGATCGACTTACGACCTATGCAACTTACGACCATTCGACTTTACGACCACAATTGCTAGCCACGACTGCTCCGAATCTGGCAGCGCAAATGTTGCCCAGCTGGGCGTACGACAGTGCGGACCAGCTTCCGGCAGCACTACCATCTCCGCGTGCACCGTTTCAACTGTTATCCCAGACTCGGTACAGCAATTTGTGTTTTGTGTCTTGGATATTTTTCATCAAACCCCTCCCAATAAACTTCTTATACATTTCGAAGCAATGGACCCAAACATCAAACGATTTGCAAGGATTGAACAGATGGTGCATGATGTGTTTCGTCCATATCGTGAAATTTATGAAGAAAAAAAGAAACATACAATTCAAACAAAGCTCACCACATTTATGAAAAAACCAACTCCGGGAACCCCAACTGCTGCCTCAGATGACGACATCAACGATCTGCAGCCAAGCACCAGCGGCCAATAAAATGTTTCGTACATGTTTGTATATTTTGATATGTTTTGCAATTGGGAAAATGTTTCCTATGGCATTTTTTACACCTGTATTTT